GAGCTTTCAGAGGTCCACAATCAGGTTTCAACACCTATCGATGTTTCTTCCATTGGTGAATATTATAGATTGAATTCAGATTGCTACATAAGCACATGTAGGCCACTGCATTTTTTTTGCACATTAGTCCTCTACCATTTAGTATGTCAAAACTATTGCGACCTGCTTTAGTTGATTTAGTGTCTACTGTAGTACTGTTTACAGACCTGACATGAAATCAAGTAAGCTAGCTTTTGGGAGGGGAATTTTTTGCCGTGCAATTCTAGTGACCATTATTGGGATTGATTCATTCTAGCTTAGCAACCACCACATTAGTTATCTAGGGCATTCTACACCATATATATGCTGAGATCTCATTGAGCAGTCAGCACTATATGTGGATTCGAAGCAATTGAAAGAGGATCGCTATGATAAATATTATTTACTTTATTATTTTGGGTTGTTACTTTTTTCTTGCAGTTACTTGATATAGACCGCATCATCTATTTGGCTGTTTCAAGGTACTACAGGAGGATCAATATGGTAGCAATGACTGCCGATCTGATACAGGCATTTCGAGCAACAGGGGGGTAAGGCTCACCAATCTCCAAAGAGTAATATTCTTTTGGGTTATTTGGATTTATGCCATTATAATTTTCGATGTATGGAGAAACGCCATTACTATTCGTCTATTTTAAAACATGCCATTACAATTCTTTGGTTCCCACAAATATGCCACAGAATGCGTATGGACACGGCCTGGGCCCAGCTGCAGCGTATACGAAGATGTACACTTCATCGCAGCCTCTCTCCCCTGTCACTGACACGCGGGCCCCACATGTCATCTTCTTCTTCCTTCCCTCCTCATGTTCCCTTGCTGAGCGTGTCGATGGCGATGGCGAGCAGCAGCACACGACCGAGCAGCAGCAGCAGCACGCGGCCTGGGCGGCTCGCGCCTCGATGCCGGCGCGCCGCTCCTGCTCGTGAGCCCACCCGCCTGCAGCAGCCGCTCGCGCCTCTCCGCCGGTGCCGCTGCTCCCGCTCGCAAGCTTGGACACCCGCTGCAGCAGCTCTCCCTCGCCCTCCCCTCCGCTGAAGCCCCTACGGGATCTGGCGCACCCCGGCGGCTTCCCCACCACCCTGCGCCACAGCCGACACCGGGAGATGCCGCCGCGACCTCCAACGCCTGCAGCTGCGGCTCCGAGGCCGCCGGTGCGGGATCCGGCGCTGCCGTGCCTCCGTGGCCCTACACGCCCGCACCACTGGCTCCCCCACGCCGCCGCCATCGCCCGGCTGCCAGGCGCCGGCAGTCCCCTCCTCCCCTTCCGGCGACCCTGGGCGCACCCATCCGCGCGAGCTGCTGCTAGGCGCAAGCTCCAGTGCCGCATCGGGCGCAGGCACGGAGGCCGCGCGGCCGCCGTCTCCACCCGCGGGTCCCGCGCCTTCTACCATGGAGGCAAGGTCGGGTCAGTGACATGTGGGGAGAGGCTACGACGATGACATGTGGGCCCCGCGTGTCAGTGACAGGGGAGAGAGGCTGCGATGAAGTATACGTCTTTGTATACGCTGCAGCTGGGCCCAGGCCGTGTCCATACGTATTCTGTGGCATATTCGTGGGAAACGAAGAATTGTAATGACGTGCTTCAAAATAGGCGAATAGTAATGGTGTTTCTTCGAACATCGAAAATTATAATAGCATGAATCCAAATAACCCTATTCTTTTTTGCTATTGGGCATACCATGTGTTATGCTACCTTGTGATATAGAATCTTTTGCATTTTTTATTTGAACCAGATTCCCTGTTATGTTACCTTGTGATATAAATAATTTCTCGGGCTCAAATTGAGAGCTTCCGAGTTCCGACAGTTGGTGCCGTACTGTCTCCTGCACAAGCTACAGCACCCAAGAACCATTGTGCCTTTGGTGCTGCTGCATGCTGCTGCTACCCACCAAGTTGTCCACGGGCAGATTCTCGGCCTCTGGTTGTGGCTATAACCAGACCTCTCCTCCATGAAGGTGAGCTCAAAAACTTTCGAAGTTTCTTCCGATTGCTTGCATTGATTACCTAAGGCAGAGCTGCTTGGTTGTGGGATGAAATCTGAATGTATTGTTCAGTTAGGTACCGATTTCTTTTGCTGCAATATGAATCTTATCGATCCATCCATGGTTCTGCTTCTATGTTCTAACACATGGTGAGTGTGCACCTAACCAAATATCAGTTGGTTTGATGTGTAATTAATCTCATCTGAGTTTTAGACACTCTAACTGCTAGCTTTTGCCTACTGGTCGATCCACAAACTATGCCACTTTATGAACCACAGATAGCTCATGTTCAGAAAAAAAAACATCATTTTTCGGGTGCATAATCATATCGTGCTTGCCGAAAAAGCAGAACATTCCTATTTCAATTTCAAGGCTGGGTACAACGAGGTAATAATATGAACATTGCTAATTTCGCAGTTGGATGGCTATTGTTACTTATGAGTTCCCCAATTAGTCTCCTGGTTTTCTAATCAGGACTTCAGCTATAGATGCTAAGGAAATAAAAATGATAATTTGATTTTGTTTCTTCTATATTTTTTGTTCATATATAAAAGCTGTAAGACTATGTTGCCTTCAATCATCAGTACATGCTTGCTAGCACAAACTGTGTAGATTTTCCGGTGCCATATTGAAGCCCCTAACAAGCCTTATATCTCCTCTCAGCGTCATTCCTCCTTCATCTTGCCTTCTTGATTTCAATCCCTAACACTAAACTTATTGCAGATTATGAGCATTTCACTATGATAGGTACAATCCTGTTGGGTCTGCTAGATGTCACATGCATTTCCAGTTTTGCAAATAAAACTGCTAGAGACTCATGTTGTTCATATAATGCTATCATGGCGTGTTTAGAATACTAAGCTGCTTGAGTACTTGTCATGGCCGTTTTCTTATTTCTAATATTGTGCTTAAATTGGCTTAAGTATGTAATTAGTTCAGTTAGCTCTTTAATTAAGCATATGCAAGTTTATCCATCCTTTTACTCATGCTACTTGATAATATTAATGTTTATTTAGTTGCCACAGTAGAGATTTTTCTAGAACCTTTTCCTTTTAGTTTGTTCTTCTATGTGATATATTTTCCTACCTACTTTTTAATATTTGTTGGTTAGATAGTAGAACAAAATTTTCAATATTTTTGGTTAGATCGGATTAAAATGTTGCATTATGAGGCTTCGAATTAAATAAGTTGTATTGTCTTTTGTTCATTGTTCTTGTGAGGGAGGTTGACTTCAGATGGCAATGCTCTTTTTCTTCTTCACCTAATCTATATTGGAGAGAGGTTGATGTTCCAACTGGTGCTTGCTGCGGGAACAAAAAATGGTTCCATTCTGCAGAAATAATTGGAATCCGGTTGAAACATTGATCTCTTCAGTTATAGGCATGTGTGGTTTTCTGCCTTCAGAGATAACAAGGCTATACAACACGCAATGTGGGCCACACCTCACTGCTTCTCTTGAAGCACTCCAAAAGATTGAGTCTATCTTTTTAGGTTGGTCAGTGTTTTATCTGGCTTCTTAATTCTTTGTGCTTACATATGCATCTTCTATACTTAAGTATGTTCACAAACAGATCTTTGGCATTCAGCCTTCAGCTGATCCACAGGTCCATGGTGAAGGTTCCTCCAGTGCAAAACCTACTAATAACACCAAAGAGGTCAGTATCTCTACTCACTAACTAGGCCTCTACATCTAAAAAATTGATATAGCTTTTCCATAGGTTAAGTAAATCATTAGAACATAAGTTTAAATAGTTGTAGTTTCGTGAATCTCGTGATCTGCAGGCTCAGTTCTTCGGAGGTGCTCATAGGAGTAGGGTTTGCGTACGTGTGTTTATAGGGGTGAGTGTGCGTGTATTGTGAATATCTGCGTTGTACTATGTAATTCTAAAAAAAAAACCTACACGTCATCTGTAAAAGAAAAATTACACTACCAACTTTGACCTTAGTACTGTAAGGTAGAGCCACGCAGCTTGGTTGTACTTGCATCCATTGCATGGATGAATCTTACTGACGTGTCTTCTCATTCTACCAAAAGCGAAGGACCGTATATTTTTCTTAAATAATGTATTATCATGTTGAGCACATTCATGTAAACAACAATTATGAGATGTTACTTCAAATTCTTTGTCAAAATAGCAGGTCAACTGTTGCTAATTGTTTACTTCTTCATTTGTATGGTCAGTTGCTGCTAATTGTTTCCTCCGGCATTTGTGTCTATTTATTGTTTAGCATATATAACAACTCTGATAGTGCTATATGCCTAATTCACCATCTAAGTCATTATTCGTTCTTTTCACAATATAATCTCCTAGCAACTGGTCTAAATTATGTCTAAAGTGAGATGGTTCCCTATTCAAAGCAACCAGAATTGCTCTCATATGCGTTAAAGAATCCGGGCGCGGCGAAGCGCGCCTACTGACCTAGTTGTCCATCTTCTTCCTCTTAATGGCCCACCTCTAAAAAATAATCTGGCCATGGATCCTAGTTAGCCATGGAGGAGAACAGATCGGAGTCATGCGGCCATGGATCCAAGGAAAGCTCGCCCGCCGCAACGCTAGCTGACTCGAGCAACCTTCGCCCTGCTCATCCACGTTTCGCAGCCGCAGCACACTGCCAACACGTTTATCACACCAGAACAAAATCAAAGAGAGAACCGTCGGTCGCTTAAAAAAGAGAGATGGTCCATAGAGCTAATCATGCATATTAAGTATTTAAAAATCCAGCCACATCATAAAGTAATTGGCTAGCTATCCAATTCACGCACATGCAGCATCGTACCTCGTACGTCAACGTGAGTTTTTATACTTCGTTTGTATCTTCACCTGTACACAAAATACCTACACCTTACCAGTGCAGACTACCATCTAAAACTAGTTAATTCTTAGATGCTTTATCTATAGAGCTTCTTGTTTGTCAACCTATTTTCCTGTGTCGTATTTGTATGCTATCTAAAGAGTGATTTGACAAAATCCAACTGCCTAGTTGGATCTAATCCTCTTTTTCTTGGGCGTCTCGTGCACCTGAGTCTTCTCTCCATACATTCTCATCTGGAGATTCTCAAAGGCTTCTGACACCACATCAACCTGGAACCAAGTATTTCATTAACATTCGGAAACTGCTGAACATGATGAAAACAGAGTAACTGACTTCGTGTTCACTAACCAACTCAGGCTTCTTGGCATAGACCCTCACAATTCTATCCTCATTGTACGCAGGTAGCAAGTGGCTGACCCTGTCATCTGTGATGGGGAACTTCTCTTCGCATCCAAAATCCTGTTGCAACAAAATTTCTGCTTAGGCCAGAGAACCTGGAGATATCTACGTTCACAAATAGTAACTACAGACATCTGTCAAGGGGCATTAATAGTGCACAAGTAAATTCGCAATCATGTTACTCACAAATACGACAGAAAGTAGGACAAAGACCGCCCTTCAAGGTTCAAATTCAGTATTGAAAGGTATAGTTCAACCTTTTTCAGAAAAGTGGTGCTATCTTCCTAATGATAGGACTTCAAAGTAAATGATGTACACAGATTATGGCCAAATTACTTGCTACATTCTGTGAAAAACTACCAAAAAATAGTAGTGGTAAAATGGGTGAGAAGGCAATAGCAAAACTACCATGCAAACAATAACAAAGGTTGGCCTGTATTTGAGATTTAAAAATCACCAATGAAACATGACGGATAAGTTGACATATATTCATAGTTTTTGCAAGAAAATCATATTATAGTTACTGAAATAGCTATCAATCAAGACACATATAAGTTTACCAGAAGCAAGTAATTACCTTAAAGAACTTGATGCTGGTGATTGGTTGTTACATACACAAAGGAATGTGATCAGTTAGAATTTTGATATTTCAGACAAATCAATAATCAATAAGAGAGATAAAGTAGCATTCAAATATCAAAAACCTTTCAAGGGGGTTATCTTTTCCACGAGTAAGATCTATCTTAACATTGCTTACTGCAACATCCTCTTCCTTCAGCAGCACCTCGGAAGATTTCTGAAGACAGTTATCTCAACATTAAAAAAAAAGTGTGAATTCTTCAGAGAGGCCAGATTATTTCAGCCACCCTTAATAAAATGTGGAAAAAGTGCAACCTGTGAACAAACTATGTCCTGTGCAGTAATATTTTTGAAATGCTCCAGTTTGTCCTTTGGAACAGAATACTGGTTGCAAAACTGCAACTCAAAGAAACAGAATAGCTTAATACTTTCACAAAAAGGAAGATTAGCTGAAGCAATAAGTACACCAATACATTCCTGATGCTACATTATGCATCTATTGAACAGAAACATAGCTCAAGCATAAATTCTAGTAAGAGCGGAATAGATGTACTGCACCCTACAAGATGCATAACAAGGTTGCTTCAGCTGTTATTTTTTCCATATATGTAATATCATACACATCTCTGAAGGCCAAACAACCTTTCCTCCTGAGTATTCTTAAAAGCAGCATCTGATGACATAGGTTACTCATTAGGACTATTTGGAAGAAATTTTGGTTTGTTCAAACACAAGCCAGGACTACCATATCTACACAGCACAAGCATCATACCAACCTAGCCAGGGACAAATGCGAGCTCAATGATGAAAGTTTTTCTTCGTATCCCCCCAACTCTAAGGAACAGAACGCTACAGTCCTTTTGAAACACATAAATTCATAAAACTGTATAAAAGTTTCATAGAAATCAATTTATTTTCATAGATAAAATTTGAGTCTAAGGGTTCCTTTTTATGGAACTATTCTAGGTCAGGACTCAGGAGTATGACTCCAAAACACAGGTAGAGAAAGCAACCAAGCAAGTGGCCATCCAGATTCTCATGAAGCTGTGATATAATAGGTTTCATGATTTCAATGTATTAGATTGTGAAGAGTAAATTAATTCACATGAATTCATGGACATGGGACCACTATATGTGTTAAAAAAAACAGAATCTCCTATGTATACTAAGCATGTGTAATGGCATGACAAAATGACACATATATGAGCATCATACTACCTTGTAGAGTTCTCTTCGGCGAATACGTTGAATGATTTCTTTTGCTTTCTTCAGTTCATTGTTAGGAGCAGTCTCAATGGTTTTAATGATTGTGTCATCCAACTGTAATTTCAGGGGATGTAAGATAGACTGGAAAACTATGAACATAATAACAATAACAGACACCAAACCTTCCAAAATTCTTCTGGGTCATGTGCATGCAATGATATCCCCAAGTAATCATTAGCCTCAATGAGAGCATCCACGAGCATGAGTTCAACAGCCTAAGGATTGAGGAATGTCACATATGAACCAGATAATACCATAACAGGAATGACTCGGGTGCATAAAAAGTCAACCACTAATAATTCAAAGGCAGCCATATGTGAAATTGCTATGAAAAAACTAATTTACCACAAAGCGCACAAGGTGTATTTGAATCCTGAATCTCTCAAAAGCTGACCCCCCCCCCCAAAGGTGTTATTATATGATTTAAGCGTGATTTCTTTTTTGTACATAAATAAAAAAGAGGTATGAAACAACAGAAGGTAAGGAAATATAAACCATCCATACCTTTACTTTGGCATGGGTATAGACTGTCCGGTGCAGATCAGCACGTGTTGAAAACAATTTATGGATGCTCAAGTCTGTAGTTATCAGAGAGACACAAGTCACATTTTGGTGCTCTTACAAGAATTTTGAAAAGAGAACAGATCAAATTTAAGCAGGTGAGGACTATATATAAACCTACAATCTTTGGCAGGGTAGCAAATTTCATCACCCATCACTCGCATGCCTTCCATCAACCTGCAGGGGACGCAATATAAACTTAGAAGATGTAACAATGACTGGCAGTACAGTAGAAGTAAAGAAAACATCGATGTGAGTCTTCCATACAAACACAGGATACACCACAAATTTAAATACCTAAATTTTTCAGCAATTATTTAGCTAAATCTTGCAAGGACAAAGGTATTTGATTGTAAAAGATACAAGGCCATGTGCCCATGTTTGAATTTTCAGCATGGGACTAACACTAGCTATCATATTACCTACTGAGAAACTAATTTAGATTCCTTTCTTTCTGTGTAGATACAAGTGTCATACACTTTGAATGTGGCTCAGTGAGATACCAAACAGAAACTAACAAAGCAAGAATGATGACAGAATAGGAAAAGGAAACTTATTTTCTAACACGTTTCCAGTTCATCTCCCTAAGAGTCTTTCATCCCGAAAACCACTTTTAACCAATAATTCATAATTTTCATGTGTTGCCGTGGGTTAGTCGCCTGGGCTATTGTGTTATAGTTTTGCGGGTTTTGTGATGTGTGTGTCTGTAAGGTTTTCAGGCCTGGTTCCCTTATAAATTAGGTCAATTCTTACTTGAAAGGCAGAGCTCCTGCCATTACGTTCAAATAATAATAATAATTTTCATGGGGCGATATCAGCACTACAACCTGACCGTATAAAATGAGAGGCGGAAAAAATAGTCAACACCTTGACAGAGAACCCCACAACATGAAGAACAGTGATGTCAGATATTTTGCGAAGGTCGGTAACATTTATTCTCACTCCTATTTTCAACAAGCAGGGCTGAAAAACAAGAATAATTTGACACAGGTAAAACAAGAGAAATCAATTATACCTCCAATACTGGAAATTACAGCCAAGACCACATGCTCTGCAGTCACGGCCAATGTAGTCAAACCTGCACACAGTTACTCAACCTTATATCATAGCACAAACCACTGTGGGCATATAGAAGAATACGCCATAAGTTCAATTCAAAGAGGCCCTTACTTGTCAACATCTATACCATTGCGACCATTAGCAACAATGTCATAAAGAAAATGCTTCTCATTTGCACTCTGAAGAAATAAGTTACAGAATTCATCCAAAGTAAGCAATGTATTTTCAATACAGGTAGATAACCAGGCTGGAAATAGAGAAGAAGATACATACTTTTGTGCTGGCATGCTTAGAGCTGGCAGTTATCATGTCCTACAGAACATTTTAATGTTTAATTAAGGTTTAGGAACTTCTATAAACACTGTGATGTGCTATAACGAATTGTATGCAATTATTTTACGTTTCTGTCCATGTGATCACACACTTACTCCATATATAAAGAGAAGCAGTAGATCACAGAACATATTAAACAGCATTCATCCATATTGCCAAGCTGAATCTTTAATGAAGGAGAGGGGGAGTTGGTTAAACGGTGGTCATTAGTGTGTGCCACACAAGGACTGGAAGCAAAATGATTCTTACCTTGACCATTTGGAGATAATCGTTTTCAATATCTATTGCATGTTTGTCAACAATACTGTCCAAAAGGAGCACTGACATATCTTCATGGGACCTGAATGAACAAGAGCATAAAAGTTAAGGCACCAAGCTCAACATAGATAAAGCATGGAAGCATGGGTAGATAAATGTAAGAATGATCAAACTATATCTTTTTTTTCAAGAACGTGGCTATGTATCCGTTTTTCATTAAGAGGGAAGAATGATCAAACTATATCATGCTGCTAACATGCACAATGTATACCCATCCAGAATGTGGACAGAAACATCATGTGATTTAAAGGCATAAACCATAACAACTAAAGTAGCATAAAAACAAGATTCCTAATAAATAAAAGAGAAGGGAACATACAGCTGCCTATGCATAACAGCTATACAAGTAGAATAACCATAGGCTTGTGCTTGTCTTTTGAACCATGGGACCTAACCATAACTTAAGATATAGGACAGCACATGGAGATGTAATTAACAGCATATATGTATAAAAAGGAGACATGCCAAAAGAGAATCACCAGGATGAGCCAGGATCAACTCGAGGAAGAACCTCATGCTCAAACAAATGACTGAAGGGTCCATGTCCAATATCATGCAAGAGACCTGAATAAGAGTTAAGCAAAGATCACAAAGATGTTTGATAATTAATGTACCCTGGATGTGTAGACCAACCTGCAAGCTTTACAGTCTGCATGTCGACATGATCAATGCCAAGCTCTTCTCCCTGTCAAAAGAAAAAAATTACTTTAACCTTAGATTCCAGCATTTCAGTCAGCTTCAGAGTTCAGATTGATGCCACACACACCTGATATGTCTTAAGATTATTTATAGCCTCTCCAGCCAACGAATAGACACCTAATGAGTGTTCGAAGCGTGTGTGAACCGCTCCAGGATAGACGAGATATGTAAGACCTGAAAACCATAAAAAAAATATGTTATTGCAACATCAAACAGTATAAAGTCTACCTAAATTGGATTTTACAAATAAAAGTGAGCGTTCTCATATATTATTTTGAAAAACTTGAAAACATAAGCATCCATGTAAATGATAAAAAGAGTAAAGTGTTGCATAAATGTAAATAGTTAACTAAGCGAATTCAGGGCTGACAAAGCTATGTATTTCAATCACTGCATAATTTTCTGCGCAGATGTTGAATTGGTTGTAGTAATGTCAACCCAACAAGGAACAAATCATGAATCTTGAACATATAGTTATCATGTATAGCAATAACCATTATTAAGCCTTGTCAGTTTTGTCTGCTTCATTTTGTTCATAAAGGAAGTTTTTGTCTGCTAGAATGACAAATACATCTTAACTGGAATGCCAAACAACAAATAACAAGCAATGGAACTCCATTTAGTTTTCAAAATTTCTGTCAAAAATTCAACATATTGAGAGAGAAACTGAACTCACCAAGTTGTTTCAAGTCCCGCAACCTAAATAGCATGATGTATTGAAATCAAAATCATGATTAGGCCATCAAAGAAATTGAATAGATAAATGAGAAGATGTAATTAACTAAACTCAGTCACCTCTGAAACTCCTCGGTATCAACAAACTGCAGGGCCAACTGCAGAACAAAGACCAAAACAGTTATTATTTATATGGCAGTGCTATGAACAGCATAAGTTAAATGAATGACACCGCATCATAGCCAGTTCCTGAGATATACTATATATGAGACGCTAGTTTTAAGTTTTAAAACATCCAAATCCAGTTGTAGCCTTAATACAAGTGCAACTTGTTGGAAGTCAAAGTGGTTAACCAATTTGCCAGCAATGAGAAAACAGAGGTACCAGGCATGACTATCAGGGCTATGCAAACAGGGTCAAACAGGTTACAGGTAGATGCATGAATGCAAACTTCACAAGCTGTCAAAGCATACTCATTTAGTATTTGTTGGACTATTAGCACCAACCTGTTTTTGAAAGGGCCTAGCGATCATTACATGAATAGAATAAATAAATTTCCTATTGACCCTTATGCAGAAGTCTACAAATGTTCAATGTTTCTAAAATGCGAATATATTGCTTATCAATAAAAATGGTTAGTTATACTATTTATTTAGATAACACTGGGTCCATGACTATTCAAGACTGAAATTAAGAGAGTACAAACATAGTGGTTATCTATGGTGTAAAGTAAAAACAACAAGCATAATAAACACTTTATAAGATGTACTCCCTCCATCCCAAATTGTAAGACGTTTGACTTTTTTGGCTTCAAGTTTGACCACTCGTCTTATTCAAAAAATTTGTGCAAATATAGTCAAATTTAAGTCATTCTTGAAGAATTTTTATTAATAAACCAAACCACGACGAAAGAAGTGATATTTTACACAAATTTTTGAATAAGACGAGTGGTCAAACTTGGTGTCAAAAAAGTCAAACGTCTTACAATTTGGAATGGATTGAGTAAATGGTTATGAACAACAAGCATAATAGACTTGTCATGTACACCAAACGGTTGCTCTTTCACCACTGGAGTCAATGCTAGTAATGCACAGATGAAACTGCCTACCTACCCAAAAATAGAGAACTAAAATGCTGAAATGTTTTAAAATGCACAGATGAAACTGCCTACCTACCCAAAAATAGAGAACTAAAATGCTGAAATGACTACCTACCCAAAAATAGAGAACTAAAATGCTGAAATGGTTTAAAATTTTATTTGCGGTATCACACCTGAGGTCAGGTTGAAGTCACATGTAACAGTCAAAGCAAATTAAACTAGCCACCGGAGACTTGTTTATGGGCTAATAAGTCAACAAAAAAATAATACCTCTCCCTCTAAAAGTAGCACTCGCATTATTGTCCAGTTACTCCTAGATTAGAATAAATAAACGTACCCCCGTTGAATTTATTAATTTGGAAAAACGAGACGCCACATGCACAGCTAATCATGCAAGGAGTCCAAGCGCCACACCAACATCAACAATATGCAACACATGAACAGGGCCAAATACCAAAACATAAAAACAAAACGGCACCGCGCAACAACTAGAAACACATGAAGAGATGGGAATCTACTGTGTCCGGCTCATCAAGGCAATTGGCACAAGGAATTGAAGGAGCGGGGCCGCGGAGCAAACCCTAAAAGGGTGGAGAACTATTGCCTTCACACAAGCAAAATAACATCGCATCGCAAGAGTAAACTGCGGCCGCGGAAAACGTAGAACCAAACGAAATAGATGCATATCGGAAAACCCAGAAGGGCATTGCATAATCCTGCTCCGCCACTGGCCCGCAACAAGGCAACGCGAGAGGCAAGCCGAACTGAAGAAAAACAGCAATGAACGAACATGCATCGTCTACCAATTCATCCACACCCGAGGAACAGGAACAGGAGGAGGACCGACACGATCAAGGATCATCAATCAATCCAGGAGCAATGAGGCGAGGAAGAGGCAGGGAAGTAAGGATGCAGCGGAGCTCACCGGGTCGAGCCAGATTCTCCCGTGGAGGTTGTCGAAGACCTGCTTCACGTAGCGGCGGTCGCAGCTCCCGTAGCTCGGCCTAACCGCCGTCTCCGGGGACGGGGAGGGGCGCGTCAAGGGCGCCGCCGCCAGCGCGGAGTCCCCCTGTGGGGAGGGGCAGTACTCTCCCATGTCTGCGCCGCGGTGCGGTGCGGTTCTCCTCCTCCCACCGTACCGCCGCCTCCGAGTTCCCGAACGCCCAGAGCGCGCGCTCGTGCGTCGTGGGGGCGCGTTGCGAGCGGGCGGTGCGGTTGTGCTTTTCGGAGGTGGGGATGGGGTGGCCGCGTGGGAGGGGGTTGCGGGATGCACAGCTGGAACAGGCGAAGCGGGGAGGACAAGAAAAGGAAATGGGTGGGAGGCAGACAAGGAAAAGATTACGAGGAGGGGGATGCGTAACGGGAATGGCCAAGGATTCGCCAATGGGGTTGCTCTTTTGCTTGTTCTTTTCCTCGCCGCGAGATAGGATATAGGAGAGCAGATTAGATTGATTTTGGATTTGGAGGGTTCCGTTACCTTCTTTATTTAACGGAAGATTTACTTCCCATTTTTATTAGTAGATGCCAGAGATGGTTTTGGAATGTGGAGGGTTACGTTACTTTTTTATTTTTAATTATTAATAGCGGGAGATTTAATCCCCATTTTTATTAGGTGGCAGCGTGTGGGGCCGGGCCTCCAACTCCATCGGTTCGGTCGCTCCCCTTCGGCCTTCGCCTTGCCTTTTGCGTGCCAGGCAGACGCCGCTGGAACGTGCCGTGCGCCTGTGCCCGTAACTTCGGCAATCGCGTGGCGGCACTTCGCTCTTGTTGTGACCTGGATGCCATGTGGATCCAATGTGAGTGGGACCACCTGGCAGTCGCACGAAGGAGTGCAATGAGCCGTGACGTCTGGGAGTTGCCGGTGCCGCAGTGGCGCGGTGGGGCCTGGGGGAACAGAAGCGCGAGGAGGAACGACCGGGGCAAGTATATTCCCTTCCTCGTGCTTGCGGTACCCACGTCCCACCGGTTCCATGAATAACGGAGCCGCGAGGTCCTCCCTCGAGACCTCAGCCTCATCCAAACTCTTGCTAGGCAAGCTTTTCCTGCTGCTTCTGTGTTTCCGCAGCTAATCTCCACCTCTTGTACGAAATTGGGGCTAGTTTGGTTGTCGAAATTTTTGACAAAACGATACTGTAGCGTTTTCGTTGTTATTTGACAATTAGTGTCCAATCATAGTCTAATTAGACTTAAAAGAATCGTCTCGTGGATTTCGTCTAAACTGTGTAATTAGTTTTATTTTTTATTTATATTTAATGCTTCATGCATGTGTCCAAAGATTCGATGTGACGGAAATCTTGAAAAATTTGACATTTTGGGAGGGAACTAAGGCCGCGTTTAGTTCCGGCCGGATTCGGCGCCGTTGAATCTGGTAGCACTGTAGCGCACTGTAGCATTTTGTTTGTATTTGGTAATAATTGTCCAATCGTTGACTAATTAGGCTCAAAACGTTCGTCTCGCAAAGTACAACCAAACTGTGCAATTAGTTTTTGATTTCGTCAACATTTAGTACTCCATGCATGTACATGTCCGCAAGTTTGATGTGATGGAAAATCTTCTTTTTACATAGTGCCAAAGTTTGAATTTTGGTGAAACTAAACATGGCCTTAGCAACTTCTTGCTGCTGTTAATAAAGTTGTTAGTTATAAAAAAAACTCATCCAAACTGGTAGGTTGCCTTCTGTTCCATGTGCCGGGCCGAATCGAATAGAAGAATCTGAATTTGTTTCGGCCTACTAGAATCCTACTTGTGGATAGCAAAGTCAGGCCACAGGTAACCATGCCTAAAGTGCGGCGAGTTATGGCGGTGGCGTGGTTTTTGGGCGCCACACTCTATGGCGAGGTTGATATAAAAAAGTATGGCAGCCTCATTTAAATCATCAACTAAACAAGCACCGAGATTCTCGTGGCGAGCCAGAGCCGTGGCATGGCGGCCAGTGGCCGTCAACCATCCACCCCCACTGTCCGCCAGATGGGGCTCGAGTTGGGTCTCTTGTGAATTTTATGTTAGGGAAAATAGTTAAAGGTCTCAAAAAAATATCTGTATATTTTTTTAATAAATTTTATTTGACTCATGAATTACTTAGTCTAATCACCGCTCATGAATTCATGATTGACATAGCGTTATATAAAACACGACTTGGTGCACTTAGATTAAAACCATCGTCTAAACCGATGCAAAAGTAAATGTTTTTATAAAAGTTAAGAAGTAACAGAACATCTGGTTTTATAGGTGGCAAGAGCGAACACACCAAAAACGATATGGGTATATATAAATGTACAACCAATAATTTTGATCTAAGTGCGAAGGGCCTGTAGCCTAGTGATTATAGGAGTCTTAGTAGCATCAGCCATGCCCCCCCTCCCCCAACAGCAATGTGTTTGTGGTAACTTCGTCAATCGTTGGGTGAGTGATAAAAAAACCATATGGGTGAGTACGCGTGACTCCGTCAATCTTAAGGATTTGTCGGTCCGGTCTTCAAAGAAGGGCATAAGGCGAGTGTCCGTGCGCTGCTGTGTAATTCTAAAAAAATAATAAAGAAGTATTAGCTAGTATACTCATATTTAGGTTATTAATGTGCATCAACACAATAGGTCTCAAAGGAGAGCGAGAGTGTCTCACGGATGAGTATTTGGACTCGAGATAGACTATGGAAGGCGTGGTGTGACGGGAACCTACTGACCTCTCTTTGCTATTGCTGTGGTCCGATTTACTTCTTTAAATTAAAAAATATGTTGTTTTTGCTCCTTCAACTATTGCAACGGGTTGTTTTTCTCTTTAGGGTTGGTTTGGATGCATGTGTATCCATTTTAATCCATATTTATTTCACTCCAACACATATGAATTAAAATAAATATATGCGCATCTAAATAAGGCCTTACATAGTTTTCAAGGTAATTTAGTCAGATGTGGCGCAACTCCATCGGTTTGGTCGCTCCCCTAGTTCGGCCTTGCCTTGCCTTTTACATGCCAGGCAGAGAGGCCGCTGGAATGTGCCGTGCGCCTGTGCCCCGTGACTTCGGCAACCGCATGGCCGCACTTCGTTCTTGTTGTGTACCTACTAGATGCCATGTGGGTCCAACGGTTAGTGGGACCACCTGGCAGTCGCACGAGGAGTGCAATGAGCCGTGACGTCTGGGAGTTGCCAGTGCCGCAGTGGCGCGGTGGGGCCTGGTGGAACAGAAGCGCAAGGAGGAACGTTAGGGGAAAGTATATCTCTTATTATCAAAGTAGGGAGGTTTGGCGCTCCTCAGGCCGTCCACGTCACCCGAATTACTTCATGCGTTGGATTCGTCGATCGACGGTCCTGGCTGCTCCCACCGACGTTTACAGCGCCCTCCTTGGAATATCTCGAAGCCTCCCGTCGTACCGTCAGAAGAAAGAGAACGAACCCCGTCTCCCTTCACCTCTCCGCGACGCTCGCCGCTCCCCACGCGAGACCCGGCTCAGGCGACGGCGCGGGACGACCTCGGCGGTACCTGTAACAGAACCGACCAATTATACGAAATTAAGTAAGAAAATCATCCGCCAGAGCAGACGATTGAGCAAACTTAAGCCCGTATAACCCGGTAGTCCGTGAAATCACGAAAGGATTTCAAACCAACTTTTATTCCAACCAAGATCGTAATAAGTTTAGCGGTCACCATCACATATTACATAAAAGTTCGCAATCTCAGATACATCAGAGTTTAAACATAGTTATTACAAAACCGGTTCGAATAAAAGTAGCGGAAGCCATTTGTTCAAACCACACACACTCACGCGGAGTTCAAATATAGTGCCAGCGAATGATCATCTCCAACAAAAGCATTAGACGAGACATAAGGAATGACCATGCCCATGGTCCTAAGCATCACCCATCGCAGGATAAAGGCGGTTGATACAAAGAGCGGTGTAATACATCTCGCCCATCTCGCAACAAGTGGGAATAAAACCCCGAGTACGAGAAGGTACTCAGCTAGACTTACCCGACATAACCGAAAATAAATGACACCAAGGATTATGAAGGCTTTATAGTAGGGTAGCTGACTCATTTGCAAAAGAAGCATTTTTAGCATTTCAAGAACATTTCTACAAGCATTATTAAGTTAATTATTATTAACCTGTTGACTAGATTTGCACCTATACTAGAGCACACATATGATTAAGCAGATAATGATAACCACTGATCATTAAACAACTTCCATACTGCCATCATATTCACTATAACTCGTCCAAGTGTTCCATAAACATTTACTACGATGAAGTAACTCAAGTCAAGTGCTCACTATCCGGGAGCGATGGCGATTGAATCGATTCCTAACCAGACTAGTGATTTATTCCTTACACAAACCTCACTCACCCGCTAAAGTGAGATATTGATCACCGAGTCAACTTTCCTGTATCTCGAGTTTGCCAGAACCACATGTACCGGGGCCGACCGATCGCACTTTGGTCTTATCATCTCGCCTCGTGTCCTACCACACTGCGCTCCAAGACAAAGGCGTGACGCTGGGCAATCTACTCGCCCGAAAAATCTCTCCCGGCCTGGGCGGTCGGAAGGTACTTTATCCGGCCAACTAAATATAAGGCATGTGTTCAACATGACTCGAGGCCCAACAACGGTCGGTCCTTAATCGATTATGCACGGAAACACACTACAACCCAAAACTCGCAAGTCTCCGTCCGGTCTCCACTTCATTTAACACTTAGTTATACCATGACTTCATAGTCATCCAAGCGAGATCCAGTAACCACCTATAGCTCGCAGTGACAGAAATCACCCGACTTCTACCGGTCTAAACCGGCTAAGCATTGACTCGATTGCGGATACGGTGGTAACAAGGATATAGTATAACAAAGGTAAACAAGGTATAATGCACGAAGAACGGTTGCAAACAACTCCTGAACGTAATGCATCAATTTAAAGTAAAGCATTTAATTAAATCATTGCAAACCGGGAGAAAATGCTCGGGCTTGCCTCTCTCAAGGAGCTCGGACGGTGATCGGGCACACTCGGAAGTTCCTCAATGTCCTCCTCGTCGGCTTCGGCACTTCTCGCGGCCGCACTCGAATCGCTCCTCGGGCTCCTCGGGTATGACGATCGGGTTCTCGGTTTATGCGATCCTGTATGATGCAATGCGTAAGTGCTTATGCAATCGGTGCATCGGATGAGATGAATACAATGGATATGTTTGAATGCAAGGTAGTCAACATCATCCAAGAAAATATACCACAAGCACATGTCATCTACTGCATTCTCTTCTACTACTAATAGGTTAAGTCAACACATCTTATTAAATGCTTCAAAGATACACCAAAGCTAACATTATTAACTAACTTTGCATTAAAGAGGATTATTTTATTTCATTTTAAACTAGGGCTACAACAGCAACCTATATTTCTGGTGCTTATAAAAATCTAAGAAAATTACAGTAGCATAGTACTACTCTAAGTAGACTACCATAAAATTTTCATGGCGTTTGGATAAGTAAAATAGTCTACACAAAAATGACAAGGCATGGCAGGATTATGAACATAAAAATACTTTGAACTGTAAAAAGTGTCAAACAACAGAGTTAGTATTTTTCCTAGGTTCTTCATAGCATACAATGACTGTACAAAAATTATCACATGCATGTTTTATACAAAGTTTGCTCTCTCTAGCAAAAAATAAAAAAATCAGCTATTAAAGGTGCTTGAACTACACCTCAAAATTTTCCCAGAGCACATGCATGAAACATATTTTTCTAGGAAATACATGACATAAGAAGATTAACAAACTTGAAATCATATATTTTCTGAAGCCTATAGATTTTTCTACATATTTTTCAAGTTATCAGCAATATTCATGATTAAATAAAATTCTACAACAAAGTATCTCAAAAATAACATGCACAATTTTTCCCAAGTAGATCTAATGATAAGGAACCTAGACAAATTTATTTCAACAGATTTGGAGCAACTTTGAGTATCCAAACATTTTGCAAACCATATCTATTTTCAAATAATAAAGAATAAATTGAAAACAATTTCTTTAAACGCCATCGGGCCAATTTCACTGAATCACCTGGCCCATGGCCGCTTTATTCACGCGCGCCCTTAACGCAAGGGAGGGGAAGATGGCCTGCAAAGCGGCGTCGCCCACGGCCACTCGCTACTGGTGGCCGAGAGGCGAGGGCTACGCCGACGCTATACTTGCTTATTTGGCATTGTGGCTCGGCCATGAGGCATGTGGCCATCTCCGGCCATGGCGATGCTGGGCGGGCGCACGGATGCGCGAGAAGATGGCGAATGCGTAGGGCAGCTAGGGCGGGCCGAGGAGAAGAGAGAGAGGTGACTTCCATGGCGGCCGTAGAGCACACGCGCGCCATGGCCGTTGGTGGCGAGGTGAGGCGGCTCTCACCCGAGCTCGGCAGTGGCACAAACGTGAGCACAACTTGAAGGAGGGCGAGGCGGAGTGTGGGCGCGTGATTGCCGGGCCGAGGTGGAGGAGCCGCGCGAATTAGGGCGGCGGGTGCGTGGCGCGGCGAGAGGCAGAGCTTGGGGCTCTCGGCTCTGGCAGAGAGGAAAGGCAGCGCGGGAGGGAGTGAGCGAGCGCACCGGCTCCAGCAGGTGTAGGCGAGCTGCGTGGGCACGGGGCAGTCCGGCTTGACGGCTGCAGTTGCCAGGCGCCGACGGCATGCATGGCTCACACTGCAGTGCACGCCTGCCATGGCATGATGGCATGGCTACAATATTGGCATCATCTAAATAAGGCTGGAGCACAGGAAGGCGCTGGCTAGGCTGAGGCGAGGCGAGGCGGCGCGGTGTGACTTGATGGGATCTGTTGGTTGGGCGGCTTGATTCAGGCTGTATGAGGCGGCCCTTGAAGGAGAAAAAGCCTTTTTCATTTGTATTTTCAAGGAATTTTTAAATGCCATCTTTCAAATATTATTTTGAGCAAGAAAATGACATCTTTTGAAAATGTACCAAAAATGAAAGTTGCTTAGAATTTAATTTTCTACAACTTTGCTTTATTGATCACAGTCAAATTCTTTCTAGATTTTGAATTGCAAGGTCAAAGTCCACGTTTAACTCAAAACCCTAATTTTTGGGAATTTATTTTTGAAGCCAAATTTTGAATTAATTTGAATACAAACTTTGCTCCAAAAATTTGAACTAAACATTGCTAGATGATTTACAATAGTAGCCAAACATGTTTTACTAACCTAGCAAGCAAAATCAGGGCAAAACAAGTCTAACAAAAGTATGCACATTCAGGTTTCACAACATGTTTCAAATGTTTCGAAGCAGTGTTTCAATTGTTATTTACATGATTAGGCATGTATGATTAGGATGCTTGATGATGCATGATATGTATGATTAGCAGTGCCTAAATGCAGGTATAACACCGGGGTGTTACAGTACCCGGCCCTCCGCACGGCGGCGGCCTCCCTCCTCCTCCTCCTCCTCCTCCTCGTCCACCACCACCACCGCCGCCACGCCACTTCCTCGTCGCGACGCAAGCCAGCGGGTCACGCGGCCTAGGGTTTCGCCCCTCCGTCGCCGGTCGTCCCCACCGCCGCACGGCCAGCCAGCGGAGGCCCTGACGCGGCGGAGGGCTCTGGCGGAGGAGGAACCTCCGTGCTGGCCGTGGATGACGACGGGGAGGTCACGTCAGCAACCTCGGCGGTGGATCTGGAGCGGCGCCCATGGGCCCGCCCCGGTGGCGGATCTCAAGCTGGACCACTACTGGAGCTCATAGCAGATTAACGAGAGGCGGTGGATCTACTGACCAAGCAGTGAGATCCAACATGAGCCCTCCCGTCTCCACTAGATCCGCTGGCCGGTAAGGTAGGAAAGGAGATAAAGGAGATTTTTTTCTCAGCCCCCTTCCCGCGCTGCCTGAATTTGCTCAAACTTAAAATAGAACCTTGTCCTATTTACATGGATAATGATCTCTTTTAGTTTCACATGTCTAGATTCAATCCTAGATTGATCCTATTGTGTGTGTGCCAGGGAGTTTGTGGAGGAGGCGGATAACGCGTCAATGAGGATTTATGAGCATCTTGGTGAGCTTGACATCGAACATTGCTTGATATGGACTTGGACCGTTATCTCGTAATAATGGCTTAAACAATCAACATGTCTCGCATAGTATAGTGATCGTAAAGTATTATGATAGGTTGTCAAACACTTTTGTGAAACCTTGCCATCCTTTATCTAATTGCAAAAGATGTGAAATCAGATCACTTGATCAATTTATAGTAACATTTTGATTTACATGAATGCTGTGCAGAGACGTGAATACAAACACTACTTTGTACATGATTGCTATCTACCGAAGTCGAGGGTGGAAGTGTCTCGCTCACGAGAGGAAGCTCAAGAGCAAAGAACTACCTTGCGCATTGACTTTGAAAAAGGAGGATACATCTTCCTAAAGGTTGCACAACCTGAACTTTATATTTTTTTTCTTTACTAATGACATTTGACCGTTAGAGTAAATCATAGTTCTCCTTTTGGCAGATAAACTTGAGAATGCTAATCATTTGAACCTTGAGATTGCCCATTTGGGTAGAAAGTAGGTACATTAATTGGACACTTTCCTTCGCTTTCTATAAAAGTTGGCTATTACCTCCTCAAAAAAAATATATTAATTGGACCATTTCGTATATAGTCGTTGCCATCTTTGTCATTGAATCGCTTTGTAATCTGATTTTTAGTTGCATGTTTTAAGCTATCTATTGGCAAGTAATTTCATCACTTAACGACATGGCTTTTTGGTAAGCTATATATGTTCCATTCTTGATGTTTGCACAAGCCCTACAGTCTCTCTTCTCCGTCTTGAAGAATATATTTCGCTTGCTTGTTTGCCGATTCGCTTGCTTGTAGTAGCTCTTGTGTTCAATGTATTTTAGCTTGGAGTGTTGCTTGTGCTGCACTATTTTGCAAATATGATGAAGCTGGATGGCACCACATGCCAAGCGTGGCTTCATTTCCTTTTCTTATTTAATATAGAATGATTTCCTTTTCTTGTAGTGTCTTGGTAATCATGGTGAAATCATTCGCATTATGTAAGTTTATTACTCGTGAGAACTGTTTTCTTGTTCCGCTGTATAGTTTCGTTCAAGATGTAACTAGCAATTTGTTGCTTTGTCGCATTTCTGGTAGCAATGTTTTGGTTCTCGATGTGAATCATTTGGTCATTTTGCATACTCCATAAAATGTAGTCCAAATTGTTTAACCTTGAGTGACGATAAATGTTGATGTGTTTTCCCGGATGCGGCTCCTTGAACTCGCCTCGCAACCGGACCTCAAGCTCACCGCCCGTGTCGGGAGCGACCCTACCAGCCCACGCGCCAGGAGGTGTGGGCCGACATGCTGTCTCGTGGCGGTGGCGGCGGCGCGGCCAAGCGGTGCAAGCACCGGGTGGTAGTGAAGAGGGTGCCCCTGCCCGCAGGGGACGAGCTCCAGGTTGTTCAGGAGGAGGTGAAGTGGCTGAGGCGCGCCTCCACATGGTGTCGGAACGTGTGCACATTCCATGGTGTTGTCAGGGTCGGCGGCCACGTCTGTTTCATCATGGATCGCCATGTTGGGTCTGTGCAGGCCGAGATGCGGCAGAATGGTGGACGCCTCACGCTGGAGCAAATTCTCAGGTCTAGCATTGCATCTAAACGTCCGTACTTAGTAATATTGACTAGCTATTCTTTCTGCTTTTGTTGTGCCAATTATCACTGCAAACATATCACGTTGCAACACAGCGCTCGCTTTTATTGTTAATCAGTACTCAGTAAGAGCTAAGAAGCATGCCTAGCTAGAACCTTCACTAAAGGTGCCAAACTGTGTAGTATGACAGCTTGCTTTGAGAGGTGTGAAGTGATTGCCTTGTTAATGGCGTTATGCGTTTTGATTTTGTTGGTGCTGGTAGCTGCTTTGTTTGCTTAGCTTCTATTGTTGTAAGGAAGGTAAAATTGGTCACAATTAATGCTCATCATGTCACTTGCCATTTCGGCGCAATGCCGTGATATATTTTGTGAATATCATAACTTTGGCTTGCAATTTTCTCGCTGAGTCAATTACCATCAGGTTATCAAGCTGTGGAGCTTCATTTTTTTTATCTATTATCGGCTCACAGTGTGGCTAACACTAACATATATATGCTGAAATCATTAAAGTTTCTATGACATGCATATGTGTGAGTAAAATTTCTACGAGAATTAATATCGCTGCAGGAAATTTATGAAGTGTGGTGGTTTTCCCGCCAATATTAGGCACCGGCACATTTTACATTTCTCTGCAAGACCCACGTGGTCTTTAGAATGTAGGTATCTCCTTTCATACCTTGCCGGTGGCGCGCGATGGCGCGCGTGATGAACTAGTATTCCATTCCTCGTGCTTGCGGTAGCCCCGTCCCACGGTTCCATGAATAACAGAGCCGCCATTTCCTCAACTCCTCATCCAACTGGCTGGTTGCATTCTGTTCCATGTGTCGGACCGGATCAAATAGAAAAAACTGGTTTGTTTCGGCCTACAATCTTAGTACTGGTGGTTAGCAAAAGAGCAAATTTCACGAGAGGTGTAAAGTGGACTAAGTTGATAGTAGTTCAAAGGTACTTTACCAAAAAAGTACAAAAAAGAATCTTAAAAAACTACTTAATTTTGTTTGAAAAAAGGTATGGAAATTAAAATACCAAAATCTGGTTCAATCTTAGAAAATCCATAGGAAAATTATTTTAGCTCAAAGAAATATGAAACTAGTTTTAGTTTTTCTTTTCTAAAATCATGCATATTATGGTGCATAGATTAGAATTATTTAGATCTTATATGTCCCATCTTGTTGTTTATTTACTAATATATGCTTTTGTTGTTTGTTATAATTGGTCTACGCCGATGATCATACTATGTAGAAGTTCAAGTGACTTCAATAACAACACATGTGTCACATAACCACCTTATACGTTATCCTATTCAGTATGAACACAAGTGACAACTTGGCCCAGAAGACGGATATGGATTCAACATTATTCTGGTTTAGGCAAGAAGTGAACAATCTAGCTACCTAATTGGTATCGGCTCGTATAGGTCGGTTGTACTAAGTAGATACCACCACATCGCAAAGAAACATCATTTTACCATGCATAATGTTTTTTTTCTTATTTATAAACATGCATGATTCTGTTTGGTGATATTTAAAACTATTCGTACAAAGTTGGCACAAGAATGATGTGGGATTTGTAGAAATAAGTTAGCAAGATATTGCATACTATTTTGTTCATTGTGGTTGAGGCCGCTCACCAAAGGTTCAACTATGAGGTGGTTAAATGATACTACTTGTGTTGTTAGTGAAGTCATTCAAACCTCTACATGCAACATATAATAATTATTATACAAATAGCAATATCAAATGAGACTATATAAGATCTATATAATGCTAATCTATGCATCCTAATATAAAACATGATTTTAGGAAAAAAAAACTGGTTTCATATTTTTCTAAGCTAAAATAGTTTTTCTTTAGTTTTTATAAGATTAAATTAGAGTTTGGTATTTTAAATTCAACTATAGAGAGATCTTGTGCTTACCATATTTTAAATCTGATGGTGGACATTAATGAAAGGTACGCATATGATTGGTCGATTTGTGGGGTTAACTCACCTGAATATCTTTTAATTTTGGACAATTTAATACTTTATATTTCAAAAAACAAATGGAGGATTCGTGTTCTTTTTTGAAGATTTATTTGTTTTACTTTTTGTTAAAGTCTATTTGCCTCCCCTGAACTATTTAATGTAGTCCACTTTGATCGATGACGTGGTGGTACGTTAAACTAAACGACTTTGAAAGCCACTTTAGAGGAAAAACGACCGATTTCAATAGTTAAAGGAGCAAAAACATATGTTTTTTTAGTTTGGGGAGAGAAATCATATCCAATAGTTGAAAGGGGTCAGGAGGACCTTTTGCTATAATCTACTCTTATGAATATCCAGTTTTGAAATCCAGCGTCCAGCATTGATATGTGAGGAGAGGAACCACAATATGAGCATAGCTGAAGAGAGTTTAAGGGCCCGTTTGATAGGAGAAACGTTTCAGTTTCTGATGAGAATCATCAGAATCACTTCCGAAGTGTATTTTCAGCAAGTGATTCGAAACCGAAACGTTTCACCGCTTCTACATACACATGCGAAACGGCAGGAGGCTAGTTTCGCACATATTCTCATCTCATTGCTTCTTTACTTTTTTTGTTCATTTTTTCAGTTAATTCTTTTTTAGTGCAACAAGTTAAAATTGTTTTTATTTAAGTTGTTCTCCATCCACAAAAAAGTTTAGAATTTTTGGAACATATTTTTATTTAAATGAATTTTTAATCGGATCTGGATTGCCAGCCAAACAATTTCATAAAGTGATTCTGATTCATCATCAAAAACATTTCTCGAAAGAATCTGGACCTGAAATGTTTCCGCGAGAACCTGGAGCCCTACCAAACGGGCCCTAAGGCCGGTCTCAGTGGAGAGTTTCATTACGTTGTTTTCAAGACAGCCACGTCATGTAGAATGAAATGAAATATCAATGAAACATTTATTCTCAATGGAGAGTTTCATAGATATTTAATTCTATGACTCATAGAGAGTTGTTATTTTTGCTAAGAGTATTTCATTCTAATGAAACTCACTTCTTCTCTCTCTTCTTAAAACCTTGCCACATCATCAAAAGCGTTTACGTGGCAGCTCATTTGATGAAACTCCAACTGAGACTAACCTAAAAGACGTTTTCCTTCCCAAAACCGGTGACTAGGTCGTAAATCAGGCTAAAGTTAGGTCTCTTGATCATTCTATGTATGCAATTTTTTTTTGAAACAACAAACATGTACGGAGATAAATTTATTCAGACTGCTCCTCAAACGCCATCCGTATGCCTTATCTCCAGCGGTGACGTTTCTAAACATTTCTACCATTATGAACTCACCAGAGCAAGCATGAACCCAATCTCTACTGACAGATGGTGTATATTTGCCTTGAAGCCTACATTTAGTTTTTTAAGAAAAACAGGGCTCAATGTAAACCATGATCCAAAACGCTGCGGCCGCTCGCTATTCCTCGTCCCGCGTGAATTTCTGCTCGGTGCTCCCCTTCCCGTGCAGGAGAAGCAGTCCGCAGGATCCAATCGTTGCCAGAAAACCTGGATCAGTTGGCATTTGGATGACAAGTATGTTAATGTGGCATGTTTTCAAATATACAAAAGGCAAAATAAAGAGGCTATTGTAGAGTCCTCTTTTTTTTAGGACTTTTCTATTTTTACATAATGGCTAAAAAAACAAGGAATTTGGCTATTAGTTTTACACGAACTCTCGGAGTTGCTCTTAAACCGACAAGGATGATCATGAACTTTTTGAGGACAGAAAGAGAGGTCCATTTGGGCAGAATAAACAATGAAGGACATCTCCATTTGCAGTTACTAGAATTCTGATGTCAATTTGCTGGCCGATCGAATCATTGTCACAGGAGTTGTCTGCAACATCAGCAGAATTACAAAGCATAACAGCCAAACAAGCAAACAATAAGAATGGACAGCGAAATCAACAAACACTGAATACCGTAACTACGGTACAACACCTCAAGTGTTCTGCTGCTGATTAGATCAGTGATCAGGGAACCGGTCATCCTACTTCAAAAACACTTGAAACAATCTACTATGCCGTGAACAAGAAAAATGGAGGCAATCACCTTCTTATTCTACAGACTCTATTTGGGTACCTTATCACAAGAATCAGAGACAAACTACCTTCTGACAAGAATCAGAGAGTAGCAGCGCATCAGGAGGGGTTCTTGGCCTTGATTCTGAGCTTCCGCGCAACGGCCGCAGCTCTTGGGTGGGCAATCTTCCTGCAGCTGCTGTCGCCGCCGCCGCCGCTCTGCTCCATCTCCACCCAGTTGATCACCCGCAGCATCACTGACTGCGGACAACAGCAGCTGCTTTGCTTCCGCCCGTCACCCATGGCAGACGCCTTGCTCTTCTTCAGCCCGGTCTCCAGCGCAGCCTCCAGGAAGTCCATGAACCAGATGCCTGCTTCGGCCTGTATCTGCTTGGCCAGCTTCAGCGAGGACCCCAGAGGAGAGTGTGCAGCGGTGGTGGCAGAGGAAGGAGCAGAAGAAGATGATCTCTTCTCGTCGCCACCGTCTTCGCCGATCTTGTCCATGGCGAGGTACTTCCTGCTGGCACTCGAGCTTCGGATGGCCTTGCCGCCGCCATCGTCGTGCTTCGGGTCCAACTTGCCGGGCGCGAACGACACCGACTTCGAGACGCCGCCCAAGCCAATGCCTCTCCGACGCACCACCGCCCTGTTCTGGGCTATCTCCTGCAGGACCGGCGGTGCGTCCTCGTGCTGCTGCTCATCACTCGCCACGGCCGCGGCCATCGAGGTGGCCGCCTGGACCGCCTCGATGTCGGTGACGGCCTGCACGGCTTCCTTGTGGAAGTTGAGGAAGCCCTCAAAACAGGTGGCCGGCGCTTCTGGCCTCGCCGTCTTGCTCACTTCTGAGAACAACCTGCAGCAGCAACCAGCGATATCGGTGACCATCGTACATTCCACTCACAATCGGCAATCGCTGCCAAAACACTACTACGAAATCACATACTTGTAGATCCTAGCCACGTTGTCCGTTGCTGATGCGTTACGCAGTGCCTCCAGGGCAATCTTCTGCGCCTGCTCTCTTTGCTCGATTGCGTCCTGAATGCGGGCACAACAAACTATGTCAGACAAACAAGAATGGAGAGAGATTTGATGGTCGTGAACTAATGATTCCCTAGATCGGATCGCACCTTCCCGAGTAGACTGAGCTTCCCCGGCACCGGCACGCGAGTAGCTGTCGCCGGTCGCTTCTTGGTGGACGTGGCCGAGCTGCCGAGCTCATCATCAGAAGGAGGCGAGGAGGGCTCTTCCTCCTTGGCCACTCTCCTCGTCGCCCTCGAGGCTGTGCAGCTCACCGAGACCTTCTCCTGCGCAAACACAAATTGGAAATCAACATTGATTTGTAAACAAGGGCGCGAGTCGACTTGGCCCCAATGTTCTTCAATTGAGGATGACCGTACAGTGGGGAATGGGCTCTTGGGGATCCTCGGATGCTGCTGCTGGTCCCTATCGGCGACGAAGCTCTTGCTCCTGATCAGCCTGGGCAGCACGCTGCTGCTCTTCCTCACGGACGCAGAGCTCATTGCCGGCGACGCCGCGACGCCCCGCTCGCGACCAGACGTCGCCGCAGCGCCGCGCTCCCTGGCAGGAGTCGCGGCGCCCGCGCGGTCCTTGACCGGAGTCGACAGGGCCGGCCGCTCCTTGACCGGCGTCATCCTCACGGCGTCGAAGTTGAGCGTGGTGGGCTTGATGGCGGCGTTCTGCTCGGGGCCCCAGGATCCCCTGCGCGGCGCGGCGGGCTTGGCCCTCCCGGCCGGGTCGGGGGTGCCGACGACGAGCGGGTGGCGGCCCGGGAGCGGCCTGGTGCCGACGATGACGGGGACGGGGGAGGCCGGGTCGAGGCGGTCGACGTGGATGAACTGGCCGAGGTGGAGCTTGTTGGAGAGCACGAGGTCGGTCTGCGCCAGCGGGAGCGTGGCGTAGATGGAGTGCGACGCGTCGGAGACCTTGACGTAGAACTTGCCGTGCTTGGGGAAGAGGTCCTTCTCGTCCAGCTCCGCCGGCACGATGTCCGTCACCTGCAGCACCGCCGTCCGGTGCTCGCCCACGGGCTTGGCGGCGCCGCTCTTCATGCCGTCCAGGAGCTTCAGGAGGACGCCGGACGACAGCGTCGTCATCTTTACGCTTGGATTCGCAGCCGGCAGTCGGTCACAACCTGGCGGCGGAGATCGATTAGTCAGAACTCGAAGAGAGGATTTAGTACTAAACATCGAGTTCAGGCGATGGCAGAAAGAATTCCCCTTGCAAACGCTGTTCTTGGCGAAATCGAACGGGGGATTTCTTCTTGCCCCCAAATTCCAAGCAAGAGCAAGAAGATGAAACGATAGCAACGATTAGTCAGAACTCAAAGAGAGGATTTAGTACTAAACATCGAGTTCAGGCGATCGCAGAAAGAATCCCCCTTGCAAACGCTGTTCATGGCGAAATCGAACGGGGGATTTCTTCTTGCCCCCAAATTCCAAACAAGAGCAAGAAGATGAAACGATAGCAAAATTACAGAATCGGAGACAATTTTGGACGGGAAGAGCGAGAATTCGAGTGGAGGAAAGTTCCCCGGACGAATCAATCGTTTGCATCAAGAAGAATCGTACCCAGGCAAGGCAATCGAAGGCTCGAACCGACCCAGCGAGATGAGATTGAGCTTACCGAGTTACCGGGGCGTGGGCAAGGCCGCAAGCAAGAAAGTTGCGCTCTCCCGATCTCAAAGAAAACCCCAATCGGGAACTGTGCGATTAAGCTGGACGACGACAGTTGTAGGCAAGCCTGAGCTGTTCTGTTCAGTCGCGGGTTTAGCAGCTGGGGTGGGGTTGCGTTGCACTCGCACCAACGGTAACCTACGAGGAGGGGAGGAACGCGAGGTGAGGTGAGGAGAGAAGAGGAGGTGGGAGAGGGAAGAAAAGAAGATCACGTGACATTTGGAACGTTGGCAAAGCCCAACGGTCGACTGGGTAAGTGGAGGAGCGGTCCAGCAGAGGCGCAGCCGCCGCCTCGCCGCCTACTGCTTTTGGCCAACGGAAAAACAAAACAGCTAGCCTCTGCCGTGCCGAGCTATCAGCACTCGCCCCACCGTCGATCCAAAACGGAAGGTGGGGATTTTGGATGGATATGTTCCTTGTTTCATCTATGTACAGGAGAAAGTCCCCGTATGAAGTATTGGTTTTTTTATACTTGACTCAGATTCTTCAATTGCACGCTATAGTATCTTAACTCATGCAAAAACTTACACCACACGCACAAGTACATGTACCGCGTGCGAGATAAACATATAACCTATGCCTAAAACTAAAACTACACATAACTATGAGATAATTGAAGACCATCAAGCTCCATGCATGACATGTACATCACCCTAACCATTGTAGAACATCCGCGTTTAAGATTGTGAAGAAAATAAGGTTGGGAGAGGGGGAGGGGGAGCACAACCACCAAGCCATCAGCTCGGTTCAAACCACCAAGTAATGTGATGCAAAACAAGAAGATGAAGCTATGATTGTTTGGCTCATTAGGAAATGAAATGTCCATTTTTTTAGAATGAAAAAGGAATGGGAAAAGGTTGTTTTTAACCCCTTAACTTTTGCGGTTATCCAATCTCCCCCTACCCATCCATCTAGCCTAATGCCATGTCAACCTGAGAGTAACCGAACTATGTTGACAGTTATGGGGTATATTATTATGCAAATATTTTTTTGAAAAAACTATGAAAATAATTTCTTTTTCTAGAAAATATACAATTTTAAATCATACCGTAAAATCTGGTTTAATCTTAGATTCAAATAATTCCAAATTAGTCACCATAAGATAAAAGCATGATTTTAAAAAAAAACCTAAAACTAGTTTCATAGTTTTTGAGCGAAAAAAATTCTAAGATTAAACCAAATTTTAGGATTTTTAATTATATTTTTTTTGAAACAACTTGATAATCTTTGCAAAAAATACTCGTAGGTCGATTTACTCTCAGCATCCAACAATGTAGTCCTATTGATCCTATCGTGGTGGATCGCGTAGGATGGCTGACAGGATAAAATCGCTGTCTAAACTATTTGGAGTAAAAACTAAATGGTTTTAAAAGTTAGGGATTGCAAAAGTGAGAAGTCAAAAACACATTTTCCCTCGTCATGCAATGCTGAAACTCAGACGGACACTGTGCGCTGGGTCCGGTCCATTCTTGTCCACACTCAAACTTCCGTTACGATTTGGACTCCAAGCTGGGCCGCACTTGGTTGGGCCGACTAGGCTTCCACTCTTTTTTTTTGTGACTGGCTTCCACTCTAGTTGGGTTGCATGTGGTTGGCCCGACTAGGTTCCCAATTGATTCAGAAGTTTTTAATTTTCTTTTTAGCTTTTATAAGGGATCCAGCTTTTACGAAAAAAATATAAGCACATCTTAGGTGCAAACATACAAACCATTTCAAAATTATATTTTAGTCATTTAGAAAATCCTGAAACTTGATACACTGTGCATCGATACATGTAGGGCCTCTTTGGCACGGCTTATGCCGGCTTCGACTTCATCTATTTTGCACAAATCGAGGCACTGTAGCGTGAAACCGTTTTGTAAGCCGGGGTTAAAATGAACTAGAAGTCGAAAAAGCCAGTTTTTCTAGCTTCACCGACTTTGGCTTCACCGGTACAGTCGTTTTGGATGAGCCGTGCCAAAGGGGCTGTAGTCACATAAAAGTTGAGATACATGTATGATTTTTTCTAGTTTGAGTTTGTATCTCAACTTTTTCAGACGACCAGAGGTGAGAAAGTCCACCGCGTTTCCCCCCCCTAGAAAACACCTCGTTTTTGTGATTGTGGCCGTACAGAAGCAGAACAAAGCGCTTCATTCGCTGTCTCTACCCCCCCTCCGAAAAAGGACAAAACTCGACTAATTTATTTTTCTTTTATTGGCACTACTATGAACCGTAGATATTGTTGTTTATTGGCACCTCAGGCACGTGGTTATATATATTATATTATGCACGTGGTTATTTATTTGTGACAGCTGACAAGGCAGTTGGCTCTTGCTCGAGCACGGCGGCGACGACTCTAACGCAAAGTCCACCGGCCAGGTAATAGACGGACCTACTGCTGCGCGAAGACGACGAACTAAACACCACGTGATGATGAGGAGTTTACTATATGCATTTGGAAACGTTTGAAAGCGAAAACGTGAAAGTACTGCTCGCGTCATATGTGAACGTGGTGATGGGTTAGGCAGTTTTGATACCCACCTACCTACCCAGGGACAAATGCGAGCTCGCTCATGAAAGTTTTTCTTCTATCCCTCCAACTCCAAGGAAAAGAAAGCTACGGTCCTTTTCAAACACAGGAGTTTCACAAAAATTATATAAAAATTTCATGGAAATCAATTTTTTTCAAGAAAATAAATCTGGCAAATATTTATATATAATATAAAAGTGACTATATAACAATTAATTTAGTATCACCAAATGTACGCAAAATCTTAGATATTGATGGTAAAAAATTGAGCCTTTCTGAGTTATAACACTGTGGACCGCGCATAGACACAATTCAAGTACTTCTGTACTAGCAAGTAGTGGTAGTGGCACCAACTGGTTCCAAGAGCTGGGAGGCAAAAAAAGGGCAGTCTGTTTGCTACTTTGCTGCTTTGCTAGCTCCTACATATGCACAACTGCAAGGAAACCAGCAAGAATCAGCCGGCGGTTTATGGATCCCCGATACCGCAATGCACTCCGTTCCTGACCTGAGAAGAGGTTCAGACTACCTTCCTAATACAGTACTACTCCGTACTACAGTACGCCTTAGCACGGTGGCTGATCAGATGTGGCTCTCAGATCAGACAAGGAGGAGCAAGCAGCAGCAGGTGGTGCAGCCCCTGGGAGACCCTGGCGGCGTCGAGCCCGATCCTGGGGCTGAGCGCCTGCGAGTGGATGGTGTAGAAGATCTTGTCCCCGATGACGGAGAAGCTGGCGCTGACCACCTCGGCGCCCTCCTGCTCCAGAACCGTGATGACCTGGTGCAGCTTGAATGGCCGCCCGGCGTCGCTGATGAGCACCACGTCCAGCGTCCCGTCCTGGTACCGCACCTCGATCACCGGCATGCGCACGCCGCCGCCGGACCCGGCGCCCGACGACGCCGTGACCGCGCCGCCGCTGCCGTTGCAGCCCGCCGCTGGACCAGGACCGCCCGCCTTCCGCTGCTTCAGCGCCTCGATCCGCCCCTTGAGCTGCTTGATGTACGCCGCCGCGCTGTCCAGCTGGTCCAGCTGCGTCACCGTGTCCTGCGATAAGCCATCCTGTTACTGTCAGTGCCAGCACAACAGTGATTCTCTTCTCCGTCTCGCCAAAAAAAAACCCATCATGATTTTTTTTTGAAAGATTTGCAGGAGCAGTGCCATGTGAATTGTGGTGTGGTTTGGTTCACTGTTGACTGTTGAGCTACAGCTCAGCCGGTGGCGACTGTAGTTTGGTTTGCCTTGCGCACATGGCGACATGGTGGAGCTCCACGGATGGTAGGTGGCCGGTGGCCTGGCCGGGGACTGAATAATTGGGGAGTCGAGAGGAGGCCAGAGCGGCAGGAAAAAAGTGAATTGTGGTGGGGTTATGCCGAGCACTTTTTTCAGCGGAATCGTTGAAAACTTTTTATTATCGTGGCATAGCACTGTAATAATCAGCCGAGCGGGGTATTTTATGATGATTATTATTATCCGACCCAATAGTCAAGTGATGTGTGTTTTTCTAGGTGGAGTATTCTATTGCCCACGAGTTCCTCCTCCGGCAGCGGCATCCGGCATCCGGCATGTGCGCCTAAACTAATAGTGATGTGACGTGTGACCCCTGAGCAAACCCGCGTGGCTGTCGCAGGACGGGAGGGGCCATCACGTGGGTGAATGGAGTGGACCTGGAGGGAGAAGCTGTTACAGTGATGTGTGTGGGCTAGTGTTTCCTGTCCTGTATCAGAAGAGGAAACGTGACTGGAAAGTGAAAACGATGGTGGCTTGTGCTTTGGCTCGATGCCCGACCGGTCACGGAGGGGGCATAATCACAAACAAAAGCAGCGGACATCTCCACTAACCCTCAATCCAATCAAATCAGATCCAATCGAATCGATTCGGTGTGGTAAATCACTGATCGTCTGGTCCAGAACTGCTGCTTTACTTGTAGTAGTAACAGTAATTAAACAGTAAGAAGCAGTCTCGTTTCCGCGCTTTTTCATACTCTTTTTTTTTTCTAACCCTTTTTGTTTTACACGTAGGCTACGAATGATTTCAAAAAGGTAAATGTTTTCTGCTGGCCAAATGGATAATATATTCCTATACTAGCGCTAATTGGTTTCTCCAGCTAGAACTACAGACAAGGATATGACTCAGTTTCATTTTTTTTTACTGCAAAGATTGACGCACGGGAGATTTTAAACGCTACTACTACTTCTGCGGTCAATTGTTTTTTCAAAGTTTTTTTTTCAACGACTGCTACAGTAGTAAACCTGAGGAGGGGAACTGACCGCGACATGAAGGATTAACTGATTGTTGTATGGACTTGACGTGAACAATCCGTTTTACTGTACAACCCTGTACCACTAACAATTTAACAGTTTGTTCGGAAGAGCAAGTCGCCATCAATTAGCACGGATGTACTATCATTTACTACTAGCAAATTACTCTTTATTTTATTTTATTTTTGGCGAGGGAAGGTCATGGATGCAGTGATTCCAATTCGATCAGTCGTTGCGCTTGGGCCCAATAGAGCAAATGAATGGTCTGAGGATGGCATGGCAGACATCAGCCTGCTCGGAATCGCCATGGATTGGAAATTCGGGGGCGCGAGGAATTGAGGGCATGCAAGAGGTTGTTGCCTTTACCTTGTTGTTGGGATTGGACGCCGCCGCCGCTGCGTCGGAGAGGAGGGAAGCGTGCGTGGCGGCGGGAGGGAGGAGGGAGGAGAGCTTGAGGCAGAGGCTCTTCATGTGCAGCCTCCGGTTCTTCTCCACGTCCTTCCTCTCCAGCTTGCATCCCCCGCCGCCGCCGCCGCTGCTGTGCGTGTGCGTGTTCGCCTCCCCCGCGGCGCACGCGGCCGAACTGCCCCCGCTGCTCTGCCTCCGGCTCTTCATCTCAATCGACCACTCTGCTCTGGTCTGCTCTCACCTTGGCTCGTCGCGTCGCTGCTGCTGCCGGTGTGCAGTGCAGTCTCGAGCTAGCCTTTGGTTAGGACAAGAGAGGCTGGAGAGCTGCTGCTGTGCTTTGCTTGCTGCCTTGGGCGGGGTCTGCTGGCTGCTCATTTATACAGGGAGTGGGTATGGGCCAGGTGAGAGAGCCTTAGCCGTAGCCGATGGGATGGGGGGGGAGTGACTGGACGGAGGAAGGAGACGATGACGAACGACAAGGCCCTCGGCCCTCCCAAGACGATCCGCGCCGTCCACGGTGCATGGACGGGCGGATAAGTGCGCGCGCGTGGCGGTCAACTCTTTTGCAATCGAGGGTCCGCGTTTTCGTGTGGGGCCTGTGGATTTGCCTTCTGGTAGCACTGTTGTTTGGCTGTTGCCGCAACTGCTCTGCACGTTGTGGCGCCGCGACGTGTGCGCGTGTTGCTTTCCGCGACGTACTACTAACGTGCTCCTGCGTCTGCGTGCGTGCGTGCCTGGGTTTTTCTTTTTCCTGGTTGTCGAGTGAGATCTGTGGATCTCGGCGTCACGTTCTCACGGGTCACTGCGGCTGGGAGTGTCAAGTGTGGCCGGGGAGTTGGGGAATCAGAACATTTGATGATGGGAGCGAGAGCAGGAGCCGCGGTTTCAGGCAAGACCGGCTGCTGCCTCGATGGTCTACGCGGTACGCGCACGCTGACCACACATATGGGTATTTGTTTCTCTAGAGGTTTCAAGCAGGATTGTCAACTGTGCATGCTACTGGTGCAGGATTATTAGCATTTATCAGTAGCAGTTTAGCACCTCGCCTGTCCAAGCTGTGGAATATATATCATACGAAGTATGGCCCCGTTCGCTTCGCTGAGAAAACAAGGCGAAATACTATTCCGGCTGATTTGTTGTGAGAGAAAAACACGGTTCCGCCTGAAAAACAAGTTAAAAAAGACTGATTATAAGAGAAACGAACAGAGCCTATACCTGAATTCTGTTTAGATAAGTCCCCGTGGGATTCTAAGAATCTAGATAAAAAAAATCAGAATCCTAAAATTCCATCCAAACAGGGTAGAATTCTAATAAATCCTAACTTACATGCACATAATTCAATAAAAAGATATCAGATTTTTTAAATCAGGATTCTTAAAATCCACCCGGATCCAAAATGGGGCCTTAACAAAGTTGTAAAGGATTCAACAGATCAGATCACTACCTCTGTACACTTGTTTTCTTTTCCTTGTTTATTACTCGATCGTATTCATTCCTACTAGGATGTTCATTTCCAATCTCCCCCGTGCGTGTCCCCGTCAATCACACTCAACGCGCGTGCGAATTTCAGCAACTCACTCATCCTAGTATAATATAATATATTTGTAGTACTCCTATTAGCTTCTTATATAAATATTTCTTTTCTTCTATTCTAAGCCTTCTCGACCCTGGAATAATATAATAGCTAATTAGAGTAGCTAGTTGATCAAGAGATCCACGTTCTGATTGATTAAAGCTAGTTGGCAGAGTACTTTGTTCTACTAGTATATTGATAGTGGTATGGAATCCAAAATGACAGTGAGAACTCCACATTTAATTTGCGGATATATTCGTCTTCATGCCCATCCCATATCTTCATCACTTGGAAAGTTGGCGATTTACATGCTCACAGTGCCCATCTGATTTACATGTGTCATATGGCCCCGTTCGTTTGGCTGAATTTGGTTGAAAAACACTGTTCCGGCTGAATTATTGTCAGAGAAAAACACTGTTCCGACTGAAAAAAGAAGTTGAACAAACCAAAACTTAAGGTCAGCCGAACAAGCCATATATCATCAGCATGGTAATGCACAGTAGAAAGTTCGCGTATGTCGACCTGGAGCAGCCATTTCCGATTCTTTTCGATCCGGATTAATGAATTTGTAAACTAAAATAAAATCTCGTGCTCAGCTGGGTAGATGCGCTGGCTGATACAATATTCTTTGGGCTCGTTCGGCTTACCCTATATTCGGCTTGTTCGTCTTCTTTTTTTTCAGCCGGAACAGTATTTTTCTTTCACAACAATTCAGTCAGAACAGTGTTTTCAGCCAATTTCAGCCAAAATTCTGCCAGTCGAACCAGGTGGAAGTTGGACCAATTTCATTTTTTCAAATTCAGTTACACATTCAGTTAAACATAAACAAACTATGGCATACTATTTCAAATTCAGATACGATATTGGAACAGACGTTAGTCAGGGAGCATTTGGATGGAGTCCAGAACTTGCCGCACCGTGCCACAGCTTTCTTGCCAAAGTTGAGCGCGTGTTTGGATCGCTGCCGAACTTGCGGCACGCGCAGCCTTGCCATAACGGCCTAGTTTATTTTTTATGCCAAAAGCTGCCACAACTGCGGTGAACGATTTGCTCGCCACAACTTTGACGCAGCCACGACAGCTGCGTGGCATGCAGCGGTAACCATCCAAACGCTCCCTTAGTATCTTATTCTATTCATGCGTGAAGCGCCAAGGTCGAGTTGATTAATTGACAGCTCATCCAGTAACTATCTGTTCCTCGAGTAATCTAACGTTTCTGCCATGCATGTTCAAAATGTGACAAGAGACGGCCGAGAACTCTTTATGGATACTATACTTTTAAGACCGTTCAGACTGCAGACCCAGTGTGTCTATATATATATATATATACACACACATACGGTAAGGTTATTTTGCACCTAGCCATAGAATAACTTATTCTATAGACATCTTGTTTTACGATAATGTTTGTACCAATTTACGATAATGACAATACACATTTACAATACATAGGTTACTATAATTCAAGATTATACTTACTATAATATTATAGTAAATTACTTATGAGAGAGTTACCATAATCTCGTAAATTAGTATAGTAATTATCGTAATTCAAAGTGGGCACAGAATAACTTATTCTACGGCCAACTATAGAACAGTACGTCTATATATATATATATATATATATATATACACACACACCACTGTTGCACAATTACGCTCAACTGCGGCAACAAACTCGAACTCAAAATTCAAATTTAAAATTCACGAGTTACTATCACAGCACTATTTAAATTCAATGTTCACTATTTCAATTCGTGGTGCTATTCAAAATACTGGCTACTATTTAAATTAAAAATATGAACAGTACATGAGCACTTGCCGAGAGTGGCTCAGGCACCCGAATTCTTTTGCAACTATTTGGAGCACTTGCCCTTTTCTTGCTACTATTTAGCACTATTTGAAGCACTTATAGTGGACGGTGGATGCAGGATACGTGCGTGATTAGTGAGCATGCGTATGTGGATTATGCTTGGCGAGACCAACGTTTCAACCGGTCGTGCGACAATGCTTGTGTCAGTCCTACTCGGTACTCACCGTATGCATCGCTGGCTCGCTTCAGAACCAGACTAACCCAGTCTCCTCCCTCGCTATCCCCAGCCACGTACACACATGACTCAAGCTCTATCGTCTCCCCAAACAGTTCCACCCGAAGGGAACATTTATCTACGCACATAGGGTTCTCTACAAACGCCTCTACCTAGGCTAACACGAGAACAACACACACAAATATTTCTCCTCTAGGGTCCCTAGCATAGAGACATCGCCCCCATATGAACGAGTTTAAAGTAAGGCAAGGATTAAAACAAGAAAGCTTAATTCATTTCCACAGAGCAAGCTTACATACGGCTTTCCCTGTCGGGAAACCCCAAGCACTTAGCACAAACCTTAGGGATTACCTTACAAGCGTAGGAAGATCATGAGGACTTCCTTTATTCTCTAATTTACAGATAGTGGTGAAGACTTATTCGTGGTGGACGATCTTCAGAGGACTTCTGAGATCGTGGTCTTCATGGTGTATGTGGGAAAGTGGAGCGGTGGTGGAGTGGAGTCTTCAGTGGATGTGTTGGTGCTGCATGAGAGTGCGGTGTCGAATGCTCGTCTTAAATGCTCGTGTTCAATGCATGCGCATGTCTTCTCCTCTTATAGAGCAGGAAGAGCCTTCTGGAGCGTCCTTCGTGCTTATCTTCTAGAGGAGCCTTCGAGGCGAAGTCTTCAATTATTCTCTCTTGCTGTTGCTTGGACAGCTAGACGGAGCTACGTGATACAATAATTATTCTGGCTACAGTAGAGTAACTGTATATTCCTTTTACGTTGTCCTCTGTCCACTCGGTCTTATCCTTCTGGATATTTTTTGGTATGGTCTTCCACGCCCAAATGATTGATGTTGCAAACATCAAATCAAGGATTCTGGCATGTAGTATTATCTTCCCTCGGTCGAATTGTTGATAACACCTTATCAACATAGGGAGTATATTTCTTGTCTAGAACATATATATTCATATTGAACTGAGTCTGTATTGACTCTTCTTATTACTCCTCAATATTTTCTTCGTTGTCCAGTTCTTCAGGTTGCCATATTTCATACCAGGACAATAATTCCCGATATTCTTTTCGTAATTGACATTCTTTGCCATAACTAGGCTTTATTAGTCTTCCAACTTCTCTTTGTATTATACTATATCTTCCATAGTATTCTCGTAAGAATACTTTTATTATTTTATTTTGGTACATCATATAATATCAGGAACAAATTTGGTATTTCCTTCTAATTCTTTTGTTTCACTAAAAATTCTCCAATATCATGGTTCGTGTCTTTTGCGAATAGTTCTTCATAGTTTTGCCATGAGTCTTAATTCCATGTAGTAGGAAATTTGTATGATTCCTTTGTGATATATATATCATGGCATGCTGGTCTTATTGGTTGTGTAAATTTTGGTGAATTGGAACAAAACTTAATTTTGTATCTCCCTTGAATACATGCTAATTTCTTACAAGCTTCTTTGATAGCTATTCCAAGGTCTGATTGGAGAATCTCTTCAAGTGTACCATATATATCATGGACTAACCCATGATCAATAAAAGTTTTTAGAGAGATATCATCTCCAATATTTCTTTGTATGCTTCTAAAATAT